GGGGCACAGGAGGCTCCCTGCACCCGCCTCGCACCTCAGCTCACCCAGGACATTGAACTTGGAGAAGAAGGACGGCGACTTGAAGTTGAGCAGCGGCAGGAGCAGCCCTACGAGGTAGAAGGGCACCGTCCGGGACTTGTCCCACCACCTCTCAAACTGCTGCAGGCCCGTGGCGTTGGCGGAGAAGACGGCAGAGCCATTGTCGGGACGGCCGCTGCCGGCGCTCGGGCAGGTCACTGCAACGGGAAGGCGTCGGTCAGGAGAGCGCGGGGAGCAGACAGGACCCCCGGAGGCACACACGGGCCCCAGCCTCAGCCTGCACCCCAACACCCAGTCCCTCCTCTCCGGAAACGACGGAGGCTTATCCTTAGATATTATAAGCCTCTTACCTAGGCACAATGGAGGGGGAAGAATGTTAGAGAATGTGCAGGCACACCCCTCATTTCTACTGGGAACTATGAGATGCTCCCCCAAACCCTTTGACTCCACGGCCAGAGAGCAGATATTGGGACCAAAGGCGTTGGGTGGGGCATCTTATCGGCTCCAGCATTTTGGCGGCAGCCTCTGATCTCATGTGTATGACAACAGAGACACCACTCAGGGTAGCTGTGCTGCGATCGGCCCCCCGCGGCCACAGGACAGGCTTCTGCTCACAGTGAAGTCATCTCTGGTTTTGGAATAAAACGCGGACATCGCTGAAGTAGCTGTCCCGGTATTGCCAACACCTAATCATTGGTCAGAGCGTAGGAATCCTCAATTCCAGGAATCCAGAGTCATTCTCCTGGAATTTATCCCACTTCATGGCAGCCCGGAGCCTGGGAGCCCAGATGTTATCCAGGGAACGGGGAAGTGAAGCTGTTTTCCTAGCACTGACGACGTGGCAACTTCTGTCCTCGGGTGGGACCCAGCCCACCCTGCCCCGGGCTCAGCGGCTCCCGTGAAGGCTGCTCCGGGGAGAACTCAGCCGTGAGACGTACAGGGCGGCGTCCTCAGCGCCACCCGCAGGAAGCGCAGGCGCACCGCCAGTGTATGCGTGTTCACTGCCGCTCACCGTCAGGACGGGGGTTACTCCACAGGATACAGGCGTGTGTGCCTTAATATCAGCGACTGAGCCCCAAGTGCCTAAAACCGAGTCAGCAAACTGAGGACGTGCCCCGGACCAAACCTGGGCAGGGGTCCAGGTGCGTGAAACACGTGCTGAGTGTCCACAGGCAAACACGGGCCGGCAAGGTGGCCACGCTGTGAGCTGTGCACAGGCCCTGCGTCCCTCACCTCACAGCAGCACAACCTGGCGTGGAGCTGGCTTTCTCGCGCTTTTTTAAAACACATTGATGGCCAATTTGATAGTGGCCCAGTTAACACAGTGGTAATGGTTTTGTGATCATCATTTACCTAAAACCAAGTCATAATCTCTACCTTAAATCTATTTTGAAGCAAAGTGGGGAATAAAAAAAACAAGCTAAACGTTAAGTTTCACACTACTTACCAGGGTTGCTATCATTGGTACTCAGTGCAGCATCTGTGTCATTAATGTGATGAATAAAATCTGAAAATTAAGGAAAAACAGAGTTCGATATCCTGAATGAGATGCTAAACTGATCACCGCTAAAGCCTTTTATCTGTAACGACCTGTTAAGGACGTCTGGGGGGCAGCACTGCTGACCACGGAACCAGATCCCCTCAGCCACACACAGCTGGCCGCTTGGCCTCCTCCCACAGGCGAGTCCCTGGCGTCCCTGTCCTGCTGTGAAACGGCACTTGACCGAGGTTCTTAAACATCTGCCAGAGGCTGAATCTAGGTAAGAGCCCCGGGTAAAGATCATGCGTGCGCCTCCCCCTCTGCTCTCGCTGACACATGTAAACTGGTCACACCTTACAGAAGGGTCTAAAGTCCGCAAAAGGGAAAGTCAACCCAAGGGCCAATTGATCTGGAAAAGCACTTGAAGTTCACACAGCACAGCAGGTGCTCTCACAGACCAGGCCACGTGGTCCTGAGCGCCCACAGCGCCCGTGCACCCCGAGCCGGCAGGTGAGGACCATGGGAGGCCGGGCAGGGCCTGAGAGGCTCGCTTGTTCTGCGTGGTGCTAACCTTGTATAACCCAGGAAGCACTAATAAGCCTGTTTGATTAAAGCTTGAGAGAGGCAGTAAAGATGTTAGATCCAATCTCAAGGTCATAAAGTAGGTTAAACACGTGACTGGTTCGCCTCCATCGCACGCGCGTCAGGGCAGAAGGAAAGGAGCTTCGTGCTCTGGGCTTTCACAGCCTCTCCAGGGGTGGCCAGCGACCCGAGATGAGAAGCTGTGGATCTTCATGGCGGTCCCGACGCCCATGTCACGCAGGCCAGGAGCCAGGAAAGCCCTGACAGGCGCCCGGGCGGCACAGCATCTCCCCACGCCCAGCCCAGGAGCCGTGCACAGCTCTGTTTCCTGACTGAGACCCTAATGCTCTCAAGACCAGTGACTGGAGTTTGCTTCCCCAGACTCTACACGTCCAATTCTTTAGCAACAGACACCTGTGAACCCCACGAGCTGCGTCGTACTAAAATCTCAGGGTAGAGATGGAAACAGTGCTTAAAGCACCTGCTGGAGCTTAATATATTTTATATTAATTAGAGAATTGGAAGGAACATAATTGATTCAAAAATTAGTTTTTGCCAATGAGCATACACATTATATCTGAGATCATAACCACAGAAAACAAGCTGAATCAAGCGTATTTTCTAGAATTACACGTGATACCTTTTCTTTATTTATCCCAAGTCCAGAATTTACGGTGGAAACTGAACCGTGACAGTTGTTGTTGTGCCCGCAGTAACTGAAAGCACGTGCGGTGGGTACTCACTAAACATGAACTTTCCGGTGTTAAACAGGAAGTTAGACATGAGCACCCAGTACACGACCATGGCTCCGATGAGCGACACCAGTGAGAACAGCAGGCTGGACCACTGCCCGAAGGCGCCGAAGTAGTGCCTGCAGACATCGGGGAACTCCCAGGCCGAGGTGTCCACCGACGCTGAGGAAAGAGGAGGAGGATAAAATCAGGTGCCAATCCCACAGTCCACACTCCTCATCTGTTCCCCCAGGTGAACTCAGAATGTTTAGTACAAGACGGCGGGCGTTACAGCACCCGACAGCAGATCACAGTAAGAAATAACAGAAATGAGAACACAGAACAAACACATAAAAATAAATGTAGGTCAATGGAAGAGGACAGATACTCTGAGAACAGAGAACGGTGTAGTAACAGTGTGTCACGAATAAAAGCACATGATAAGCCCCAGCTAGACAAAACCCTTCGTAAAGGGACAGAAGGCGTCACGCTTAGATAATGAGGAGAACAATTTTCTTGGGTGATACTTTATACCTCACATGCCAATTTAAGCTTCACACAACTGAGTTAAGAATTGAAAATATTAGCCTGGCTGGTGTGGTTCAGTGGTCAAGCGTGACCCATGAACCAGGAGGTCATGGTTCGACTCCTGGTCAGGGCACATGCCTGGGTTGCAGGCTTGATCTCTAGTAGGGGATGTGCAGGAGGCAGCGATCAATGATTCTCTCTCATCATTGATGTTTCTATCTCTCTCTCCCTCTCTCCCTCTCCCTTCCTCTCTCTGAAATCAATAAAAAAAAAACTTTAAAAAAAGAATTTTAAAAATTAAATTACAGAAAAATTAGAAGACAGTGTAGAAACAGAACATGAATCACATGTTCTACCAACTGAATTACAATGGAAAAGATGGGCAGATATAAACAAACCCATATAATAAAAAAGCCATTCAAACACTGATGGGAAAAAATTGACAAGAAATAATAGATAAAGGGCTAATGGCTACATCATATAAAGAACTTGGCAGAGCTACAAGAGCACCAAGGGACTTGTGGGTAAAGGGAAGGGATATGAATAAGTAATACAATTAAGGGAAAATACACCACCGCTCAGTAGAGACAGAAAACAATTGGGCGGTGCCGGGCTGCTGACTCATACTGGCTAAGAGTCAAGTGAATAATGTGTGCTGTTTAGGGCCTGTTACTTTAACACAATCCAAGAAGGTGTCTCCCTGGTCCAGGGTGTGCAGAGATGAGTGGAGGAAATGAGCTGGTGTAATTTTTAGAGTTCGCTCTAAGGGACACATTGCTCACATCTTCATATTTTTCTACTTTTAGGAGAGACCAACGTTTAGGTCTTTCGGTCGGGATAGGTCAAAACAAGTCGCCGTTAACTGAAGAAGCATCATCGATTTCTACGTTTAGTTCCTGCAAAGACCTCAGTTTACCAACGTGACTCTTCCTTCTAAGGAACTAACTCCAAGTGAGTGTGTTCTGCAGAGACCTCTCGGCCTCTCTGACCCCAAGGGCGGCCCTCGGTCAGCCCAAGGCCAGGAGCAGAGCAGCAAGCTTCAGGCACCCAACAGGAGGCACAGGCTGGCGGCCCCTCCACAGGACGCGCTACGCCTGCCCTCCTGTCCTCGCTGGGCTGCGCTTACGTATCGTGGCTCGTGACCGCAGCACCCGGTAGCAGCAGTACAGGGTCAGCAGGCCCATCAGCAGGATGACGCACACCCCGGTCGTGAATCCCGCCTGTGGGAAATAAAATGCGTTAGAGCAGCGGTTCTCAACCTTCTGGCCCTTTAAATACAGCTCCTCATGTTGTGACCCAACCATACAATTATTTTCGTTGCTACTTCATAACTGTAATGTTGCTACTGTTATGAATCGTCATGTAAATATCTGATAGGCAGAATGGTCTTAGGTGACCCCTGTGAAAGGGTCGTTCGACCGCCAAAGGGGTCGCGACCCACAGGTTGAGAACCGCTGCGTTAGAGCGAACACTCATGCTGCCATGTGACGCTGCCCAGAGTAATTATGATAAAAACCTGGTAAACAATGACGATGAAAACATTCTACTTCGTGTAAAATTAAGTATTATCATCTACTGTCTTTTAAAAAATTGATGTGGATTTATTAAAACCTCTACTGCAAGACTTACCACATAGAAAGAAAAAGAATTCAGGCTAAAATTAGGCTGAAAAGGACATTACCTGCTTTATGCCCCAAGGAATACTGAGTATCGAGGTCCCCATCATGGTGTTCCAGATCATGAAACTGAAAAGAGAGCGACAGCAGGGGGAGGGGAGCTGACTCCTCAAACGCTTTCATTAGAGAAAAGCCGTCAGCAGCTCCCGCACGCACTCAGTCCTGCGCAGACAGCAGGCGACTCACATGGTCACGAGGCTGGTGTTCTTCCCGGACCCCTCGGGGCAGCTCTGGAGTTTGTACGCGGAGCCCAGCGGGCTGTACACGTAGCGCTCCTCCGGGGCCGGGACCACGTGGTCCGGGGCAACCTGTGAAATGGACACACAAACTGAGGGCTGGCACAGCCACGCAGGGCGTCTCCTGCACGTCCGAGCGCACGTCCAAGCGTCACGAGCCAACCACAGAAATCTCCCGATTCACACACTCGAGTTCTCCTTTAAACACAGTGAACGCCTACAGGAGCGAGCAGTGAGGACGGGACACGAAGACCTTCCATCCGAAAGGAGGCGAGTCCCCAGCTCTTCAGTTTAGGGGAGAGGAGAGGGGGCCGGGGAGACCGAGGTCAGGAGGCTCCAGCTGAGCCCTGGCCTCCCCTGGGGGAACGTCAAGAAGGAGGGTGACTGGACTCCTAGTGGGGGTGGTCGACCCGAGGCGGGAGGGGACTCCCTCTGTGAGGGATGCAGGAGCCGCCAGGGGAGGAGGAATACTGCGGGCAGACCACTCAGACGCTGTGGTGGCTGAAGGACAGGGTGGGCCAGAGCAGCTTAAGGAAAAGGCCACGCAAGGATTCTTAAGGATGGAGGATGCAGACCAGAGGGAGGGGCCTGCAGAGGTGAAGGGAGAGAGGAGGATGGACGGGGGCTCTCACCACAGAGCCCACCCCCCTCCGTCCACGTCCTCCCAACGCTGCCTCCCTCTTTCGGAGGAAAAGTCGTTTCCTGATGGGATTTAGCGCCCCCCCCCCCTCCCCCAGAACAGTCCTTTGGAAACTGGGATTCTCAAAAATGATGATGGATAAACACATTCATTGAAAACGGTTGTATCAATTGCTAATTTTAGACCAACTGTTCATGTGCTTGGACACACCAGTCATCCCACAGCCCGTTCACAGGGCCCCCCGGGGTGTGTGCTCACTCAGTTTCCAGCAAACCACACACCGGCCGGCCCTGCCACGGCTGCCTCCACAGGCCAAGCCTGGAGGCATCTGGCCAGATCTGAAGATACTGGCTGCGTCTCGCTCCCGGAGGCTGACATAATCCTGGTATGAAACCACAACTTATCGCCACCACAAATGGAAAGGCCTCGGGGAGGAACAAGTGAAAAGCTGGGGAAATCATCTCCTCCAGAATGTTCTGGAAGCCCCTCCTTTGGCTACTCAGAAGGTCTTAATCCCTCCAACGCTGAGTGAGCTATGCACGTGAGTACTGGCCCAGCCCTGCCCCTCAGCAAGTCTACAGAACGCTGCTCCCTCCTCCACTTTTATTATTACTTAGAAAAAAGCATCGTCTTTTCTCCCGGAAAGTCTCCGCTTTTCTCTAAGCTTTGAAGTTTCTGAATATCTCAAATGTGCTACTTCTTCTAGGCAACCAAGTCACTTAAAACAAGTATTTGTGATCCTAAACTAGCAATATGGACCTTAGGAGATTGAGAGTCAGCAGCCCATGGCCCGTGGGCCCCCAGCACGGGGTGAGCAGCCTCCCCTACAGCAAACTCCCGGCTGCTGTCGACACGGAGAGGCTGTTCGAGTGCCAGGCCCCGCAGGAAGGAGCCAGCGGGAGGGGCGGCGTGTACCAGCGAACCCGTCGGACTTTCCATGACGCCACCCTTGGAACGTGCCCAGCGAAGTCCAACCCTGGAGCCGCCCGGTGCTGCTCATGTTCATCCGACTCAGCCCAGGCGGGGAACGCGGCCTTACCAGCGCCTGGTCCGCGGGAGCCGCGAGCCGGCTGTAGTAGTGAATCCTCTTGTTCATGGCCGAGGCGCGGTCGCTGACCCGCTGCAGGACGTCACTCACGCTGACGATGTTGGTGGGCTCCACGTGGAAAGGCCTGAGGAGGGAAGGCACTTGACAAAGAACATCCTGGAGGCTGAAGACAAGGACGTCCTGCCCTCCATGGAAAGGCCTCGGGCCGGGGAGACGGAGGCGCCGGGCAAGGCTCCCTCCCACGCGGGCAGGAAGCGCACAAAGGGAGCCTTCTCCAGCCCCTGCGCTTCTGCCCACGCCGCCAGGCCGCTGCGCTGCCTTTTTTAAACTTAAGACATTCAGCAAGAGGAGGCAGAACACAGAGCTCCACGCCACTCTGACAAAGAAACAGAGCAGCTGTCAGTTTTCAACAATCAAACTCAGACGCAGCTCGGGATTCTCCCACAGAGCTGCTGGCACTGAGTCAGAGAAACGATGGACAAGAAGGTCCCTGTGCTCCTTCCTCCTTTGTGGCTGGGTCACCCCGGACCAGGCTGAGTGACCCACCATCCCCTGCACGGCTGACCCCGGGGACCGGCCAATGGAACATCCAGACGCCAGCTCTCACTTGTGCCGAGTTCTACTTTGCTTGGAATTCGGTGATGCACCCTAGTATGTGAGCTCCTCCTCATACCCTGTCCCCCAAACTCAGATTCTGTGTTTCAATAATCACTTCAGCGCCTCCCGAAACCCCCGTCTGCTCTCAAACGGTCCAGGGGTCCCCTTACCCCAAGGAGGCCAGGCAGAGGCACGGAAGGACTCCCTCCTCTGCGGATGCCCAGGCCCCGGGGCACCACGATCTGCACCCCACACTGTCAGGAATTTGCCATTTCAGGAGGGAAAGACCACCAGGGCTTTTGTCTGGTTCCGTGTGACTGCTCTGCACTCACAGCTCTGAAGGAAGCTTAGGATGCAGAGAAGAACGGAGTCATCTCTGAAGACACTGCTGATCTTGTGGGAAACACTTGGGAACCTAGGACTAAAGTCTAATTTCTGCTGTTTTAGAGAAACGGTGGGATAGACGTGAGACGCCGTCTAGTCTCTCTAGTTAGCACAGAATCTCTGAATCTTTCTTTTATTATTTATTCCCCACCAGAGCACTCGGATATGGAGGGTACGTTCTACTTTAACCCAACACACATCGAGGTAGAGCCCTCACCAGTGCAAACACATGGGTACCGAGACCGCGTGACCTGCTCTCTAAACTGGGCAGAGAAGCGAAGCGAAGCGAGTGGTTTCCATAAACCTCACGTGGACAGGAGGAGAACGAGAGGGTCAGAGGCGGAATACACTGGCCCTGGTTACACATGAGTAGCCTGAGAAAGCGCCCCCCACCCCCCAGCATCGTGCTGTCCTGTGTAATTTAGACTAGGACTGTGACACTCAGCAGTACTAAGCAGCAACGTAGAAACATGATGTCTGTCCGGCTGGCGTGGCTCGGTGGTTGAGCATCCACCCATGAACCAAGAGGTTGCTGGTTTGATTCCCGGTCAGGGCACATGCCTGCATTGCAGGCTCAATCCAGGCATGTGCCCTGGATTGAGCACATGGGGCGTGCAGGAGGCAGCCGATCGATGATGTTTCTCTCTCATGGATGTTTCTATCTCTCCCTCCCTTCCTCTCTCTCTAAAAATCAAAAGAAACATTTAAAAAATGTATGTCCGGGAGACATGTAATCAGCCTGGGAGGTCGAATCCTACAGGGCTTCCTTGTTCTGCAGCAATGACACCCCGAAGTTCAAGAGGAATTACAGCTTCGATGTCGCCTTAGAGCGGGGACGGAGACCAGCCCTAGCGCACCAACAGGACCAAGGAGCGCGGCACCGACAGAGGGACGGGGGCGTCAGGTGGAACCGCGCTGGCTGCCCGGCACCCACCCAGGTGCTACCGCTACCCGCTCAGTGGGCTCGGGTATCTGAGCGGGAACGACTCGGAAAGTTTCCCTTTTCCAACAGTTTCCATCGAGATGCTCTGTGCCTGTTCAAACAAATATCTGGGCATCTTTTCAAAACAGATTCTCTAAAAATATACAACTCCGCATATTTTAACGGAATTATTAGAAACAGATGCTTAGAGCTTCATCTCACAGAGCAAATACAGAACTTACATTTCCAAACTGAAGTTGCGTTGGACCTGAAAACACTTTTACAACGAATCGCTCTACCCGGAGGACGCTGTTCGGGAGAAGGGCTCGAGGCGTGGGCTTTCACTGCCCAGGCTCATAGGGCTGCTTCCTCCCAGGACTTCCCACCCGCGGTGAGCCCGGCTGCCCACTGCAAAGAAGGCGTGAGACCTCACTAGACGTGACGTTCGTCTCGCATGCTATTTGTTTACAGTCGCGCTGCAGAAAAAGGGCGTTTAACCTTCAGCAAGATTTAAAAAATAGTTTAGCTCATGACTCAAAATCCCACATTTTCATTTAACGTCCTTATAAACGAAGGAACCTTACTTCTACCCGGCGCCTCTTCTAGCTTCCGCTGCTTGAATTCCTGAAGCACTTTTGGCTCTTGCACCTGCCTCCACCCTCCTGCCGACCAGGCTGCTCCTCTGAAGTTTAGGAACAAGCATGACCCCGGGAAGGGTCACCCTCCGGAGGAAGACCCTGGGCTGAAGCTGCCCTTGCGCATGGCCGACGCCCAGGCCCCCACCTGCCGAGGGGCCGCGCGTTAAAAAAAAAAATGAGTCGACTGGTTTGGCTCAGTGGATAGAGCGTCGGCCTGCGGACTGAAGGGTCCCGGGTTTGATTCCGGTCAAGGGCATGTACCTTGGTTGCAGGCACATCCCCAGTGGGGGGTGTGCAGGAGGCAGCTGATCGATGTTTCTCTCTCATCGATGTTTCTAACTTTCTATCCCTCTCCCTTCCTCTCTGTAAAAAATCAATAAAATATATTTTTTTAAAAATGAGAAGGGGATCAAGGATTCAAAAAATATCAGGCCAATAAACACGCACCAAAACGGCCATGTGCTCGCTGCTCCTGCCGGGGCCCTGCGGGTCTGCCAGCGGCTCTCAGGCGGCAGGAGGAGCTGAGCTAGCGTCGTCCCAGTCCCCGCTGAGGGACGCCCTGGGACCTGGGCCGCCTCTGATGCCCACGACATCCTGGCACAGAGCACTGCTCGGCGCCTCGACCCACACACTGTCCCCAGAGGCCCAGCCGCCCCAGCCTCTCTGTTTCTATTGGTTCTCAAATCCATCTACTTTCCGTAGGTTTAACATTAGTCCTCGCGCACACAGACCTGCCCTGCAGCCACTGACGTAGAACTGAGCGACCCCACGGAGGGTGGGAATTTACCAGCGATTTCAACAGACACTTTGAGGTGATTGTTGAATGAGACCGACGCGGAATTCACATGCGTCTGAATTACTGTGTGGCACAGTTAAACGCTTTTCAAAAATAAAGAAGGCATATTCAATTATTACTGATAACATTATAAAGGGAAATCAAAAGTTTTAATGCACTGTTAATAAGTAAGAGGTAATTTTTCAAGGTTAATTATGACACCTTACAATTTTAAAACGTGCATTTTCATGGTTCATGATGTAGGTAAGTACACATACATAATCTCAAACGCACGGGCACGCGCGTGTGGACAGGCAGGCCCACTTCTTACAGGCTGTTCCCATCGCTCTGAGCTGCACGGGAGGCCTGACGAAACTCGAGTGCCGACGGCGCAGGCTCCTGACCTTGGAAAGCCAGGCTGCTGCTTCGCTGCGGGTACACACCTTCATCACCTCGTGTGGACAGGAACTTCCCTGACCGTGGATCTCAGGCCCTTAACTCTTAGCTACATACAGACTGAAAAAACGCTGAGCTAAGAATGAATTTCAAATTCTCTTAGTGCAAGCCATGCCTTCAAATTTTGGTTTTAAAAATATGTATAAGTTGTTTTAATTCTACTGTCGTGCAAACAAACACTCTCTTCTCTTACGGCTACGAAGTGACGGGCAAGAGGAAGGTGAGGGCTCTGGTGCTGTGTTCCTGCTGTCAGCCTAGCACGAGGCTGAAGGCTAATGGAAACGCTGGGAACACGAGGGTCCAGTTCAGCAGCTCCTGCAGGTCATACCAACCGACAGGTCAGCTCCCGGCCGCCCAGAAGCAGTGGCCCAGCACCTGGACGTCAGCTGTCAGCCCATCAGGGAGGCAGCCCCACACGGACGCGGCCAGTGACACTCCACAAAGAAAGGCCGGATGTGGGAAAACTCCCCGGAGGGCACGTTCCCCCAGCGGCTCCTCCCTCAGCCACTGGACAAGAAGGTCAAACAGATCCCAGGCGGCCCTGACCTCAATGCAGTCAGTTACGATGACCAGCTGAGTCTGTGGAAATAAAGAGCTTGTCTTAATTCTAAGTGAAGGGTTGGCTTCCGCCTGCAGCGTCGTGCCAATGATTACTCCCCTACACAAATCTATCAGGAGAATTTCTGGGAAAAAGTGGCATTTCGAGTTTCATAACCTAACTATCCCCCATTTTTAAAACAATTGCCAGAGAGAACAATGCCAGGCCAGCATTTTAACTAAAACTTCCTTTCCTAAAAAAAACTGGAAAGGTAATGAAAACGGTAAAGAATTCAGTAAGTCTGTGTAGAGAGATCAGTGTTACTTGTAATATATACATGTGATTCTTCCAATGAGCACGAAAACTGCTTTCTTCACTATCTGACTCCAGTTAGAGACACTGAAAACACAGAATAAAACGTAGCTGCCCTTTAAATGGGCCCCAAACAGCCCGAGCCCTTTCCCACCTCTCCCATCACTAAGGGAGCCGTAGGAGTCTCCCGGCAGCTCTCCGGCTGGGAGCGGGAGCGGGAGCGGGGAAGTCTGCCTTGCCCCTGGGGACACAGCGGCAAAGGCCACCAAAGGGTCCCCCAGGTGACCAGGCTCGCTCTGCAGCCAGGGGGCTGACACTGCAGCCGCCGGACCAGCACCCCTTGCTGGCAGGACTCCCGTGACTGGCAGACCCGTCCCAGAACCACAGAACAGACCAAGGAGGCCAGAGTCCAGCTGCCACCTGCCCGACAGCGGGGTGCCCGCAGCTAACGCTCACCAACGACCAGGACTTGTCACCGTCATGGGTATCTTACCTTCGGCCA